TAAACTGAATAAGAGACAGAATCTTGATGGGAATTCAGTCAAGATGTTTCTGGTTCTCATGCTCAAAGCCAGTAGTTCTCTATCAGTGGCAATTCTACCTCCTTAGAGATAACTGAAATGGTCTGGAGGCATTTTTGGTTGTAACAACTTTTGAGAGAGGGGCTGTGTGATGATGATGGTTATGTGTCAACATGGCTAGACCATAGTTCTCAGTGGCTTGGCAAATATTATGTATTCACTTTCCACTTTGTGAAATGATGAGAGTAGCCAATAAGTGGAAAGGGACCAAACATGTGTGGCCTACATTCACTATACAGGGATGGTTTGGCAAAACTTGTCATCTCTTTATCCTGTATCCAACTCATCATTCTCTGACCTCTGTTTTTTGGGACGTAAGCCAGACACCTGCTGTCTGACCTGCATATTTGGAGATTCACCAACTCCTGAGGTCTCATGAGCCAGCAGCATGCTGATATTGATTTCATTAGCCTCTGCAACCATGTGAGTCAGGAGAAGCCTCTAGCCCGACGTTTAACCACTGGACTTAGGACATGTCAGTCTTAACAGCTTTGTGAGTGATTTCTTTGAAATTTCTCTCTCTCTCTCTCTGACAAGTAATTTTTGCTTCACTGCTCGGTGCCTGGGACCATGGTAGACACTGTGGACACTGAGCTGCCTAAGAGAACAGGATCATAATGAGAACTGAACCAGCTGACCACCTGTAGTATGTTAAATTCTACATTATTAGAAAAGAACTTAATGTAGTGATATAAAAAGTTATGATGGAAACCAAAGTGAAAAATTGTGTCCACATATGTTTTTCTACAATATAATTATATAAATGGTGTTACTTGCCAAGTGTAGTTTTTTTTTTTACAAGTAAGCCAACTCATCACTTTTCTTTCAATAAAACAAAGGAAAACATTACTTGTGATATTATATTCTATTACTTGTGTCATTTGAGAATGAAGTACATTATCATATATCCATGTCACCATGTAAAATAAATGGGAATTTCCACATAATTTCTCACTCAAGGTTAGGAATAATTTTGCAAAAGTAGGAAGAAAGACAATGGGGAAAATTGTCTGGATATAAGACAGAGCAGAAAGCTTTCTAAAGGGAGTTGCTTAGAATCAAAGACACTGAAATACCAGGATAGAATTAGAAATAGGTAGCTTCTAGTTCCATGATCTGATCAAAGAATCACAATTTATATCTCTGAGGCAGAAATATATAATTATATAAATGACCTAGCAATGACAATCACAATCACTTTTCAACCCCAGGACAGATGGCCCTTCATGACCTGGCTCTTGGATAATCTCCTCAGAGCCTCTTTTATGTCTCTGTTCCTCAGGCTGTAGATGAAGGGGTTCAGCATGGGTGTGACCACAGTGTACAAAACCGAGGCTACTGCACCTGAGTGTGCATCATGCGTACCAATAGAACTAAAATATACTCCTATGCTTGTAAAATAAAATAAGGAGACAACTGAGAGGTGAGATGTACAAGTAGAAAATGCTTTGTATTTCCCTCCAGTTGATGAGATTGCACGAATGGAGGATAGAATTTTAGAGTAGGAGAACAAGATCCCAGCAAGGGGACCGCCACCTAACAGCACAGAAACACAATACATCACTACGTCATTGATGAAGGTGTCAGAGCAGGCATGCTGGACCACCTGATTAAGTTCACAGAAAAAGTGGGGGATTTCTACATTTGTACAGAAGGACAATCGCAACACTAGTAAGCTTTCTAACAAGGATTGCAGCACACTGATGATCCAGGACACCAGAACCAGCCATCCACACAGCCAGGGGCTCATGATGACCATGTAGTGAAGGGGGTGACAGATGGCCACAAAGCGATCATAGGCCATCACAGTCAGGAGGAAATCGTCCACCCCTCCAAAAAGTAGAAAAAAGTACATCTGAGTGATGCAGCCTTCATAGGTGATGAATTTGCTCTGCATCTGGATATTCACCAGCATCTTTGGGACAGTGGTGGAGGTGAAACAGATGTCCGCAAAGGACAGGTTTGCAAGGAAGAAGTACATGGGTGTGTGGAGGTGGGTGTCTGAGATGATGGCCAGGATAATGAGCAGATTTCCAAGGATGGTGATTAGGTACATGGACAGGAACAGAACAAAGAACACGGGCTGCCATTCTGGTTCCTCCGAAAATCCCAGAAGAAGAAATTTTGAAATTTGTGTATCATTTCCTGGTTCCATGGGGTTGGTGGTACTACCAGGGAAGAGAAAACAAGACTAATTTTCAGCAAAACAGGCTTCATTAACAGTGAAAAAGGTATAATTTATGTTCTCTAGTCAAAATACATTTTTTTATAAATATAAATGTTATGTATTCTATCAAGCAACCCACCTCTCATCTGTCAGTTTGTCATACTGTGGTGGCTTGCATGTTACTGTGATGGTGGAAGCTACACGACCCATGCTTCAAATACCAGCAGCATCACCCATGATGAATCGGTTTCAGTGGAGCTTCCAGAGTGAGACATACTAGGAAGAAAGAAGACACATTCCACTTCTGAAAAAAATCAGCCACTGACAACCTTACAAAAAGCAGGGCAACACTGTCAGATACAGTACTGGAAGATGAGCCCTTCAGGACAGAAAGCACTCAAAATACTACTAGGGAAAGGCTGCCTCTTGAAAGTAGAATTGGCTTTAATGATGTGAATGGAGAATAGCTTTCTTCACCTTCCTTTGCTGATGTGGCACAAGTCTAAATGGGAAGAAATATCTACAAACTTCCATTTATAATCAGAATGTGAATTATATGAAGTATGAATCCAGGAAAATTGGGAATTCTGAAAAAGGAAATGGACAATTAAGCTCGATATCTTAAGGCATTAGTGAGCTGAAATGGATTGGAATTGGCCATTTTTTGTCACACCACCATATGGCCCACTATCCTGGGAATGATATATTCACGAGGAATGACATCGCATTCATTGTCAAAAAGAACATTTCAGGATCGATCCTGGAGCACAGTGCTGTCAGTGATAGAAGAATATCCATACATCTACAAAGAAGACCACCACTTGTCTGTCAGTTTGTCATACTGTAGCGGCTTATGTTTTACTGTGAGGCTGGAGGCTATTGTCACTGGTATTTCAAATACAAGCAGGGTCACCCATGGTGGACAGGTTTCAGCACAGCTTCCAGAGAAAGATAGACTTTGAAGAAGGAAGGGACCATCAAATTCTCAAAATACTGGCCAGTGAAAACCTTATGAATAGCAGTGAAACACTGCCTCATATATTTCTGGAAAACTTGGTGAACAGCCTTGAAACACTGTGTGATATAGTGCTGGAAGGTGAGCCCCTCAGATTAGAAAGAACTCAAAATAAGACTGGAGAAGAACTGCCTCATCCAAGTAGAGAAGACCTTAATGATGTGGATAGAGTAAAGCTTTTGGGACCTCCATTTTCTTGTGAGGCATTACTCAAAATGGGAAGAAACAGCTGCAAACATATATTTTTAATTGAAACATGGAATGTATGAAGTATGAATCTAGGAAAGTAAGAAGTTGTCAAAGATGAAATGGAATGCATAAAGATTGAGTACCATGAACTGTCAGAAGAGTCAACAAATCTGTTCTAGAAGAAGTGCACATGGGATGCTCCTTGGAGTAGAGAATGGCCAGACTTCGCCTCCCCTATTTTGGTCATTTTGTCAGAAGGGACCATTCTCTGGAGAAGGAAATCATTCTAGGTAAAGTGGAGGGTCAGTAAAAAAGGAGAAGGCCATCAAATACACAGATTGACACAGTGATTACAATGATGGGCTGAAGTAAAGTATGGATTGTGGGGATGGTGCACCCCTGGGCAATGTTTTGTTCTGTTGTACATAGGGTTGCTATGAGAAGCTGGACTACATGAAGAAGAATGTGGCATCAGGATTGAAGGAAGAATCATTAACAACTCTTCGATACACTGATGACACAACTTTGCTTGCTGAAAGTGAGGATGACTTGAGGCACTTACTGATGAAGATTGAAGCCTAAAGTCTTTGATATCGATTCTTCTCAATATAAAGAAAACAAAAGTCCTCACAACTTGACCTATAAGCAACATCACGATAAATGGAGAAAAGATTGAAGTTGTCAAAGACTTCACATTGCTTGGTTCTACAATTGACGCCAATGGAAGCAGCAGTCAGGACATTAGACAACGTATAGCACTGGGTAAGTCAGCTGCAAAGGACGTCTTTCAAGTGCTGAGGAGCAAAGATGTCTCCTTGAGGACTAAGGTGCGCCTGACACAAGCCATGGTATTTTCAATTGCCTCACATGCATGCGAGAGCTGGACAATGAATAAGGAAGACCAAAGAATTGATGCTTTCGAGTTGTGCTGGCGAAGATTGCTGGCGAAGAATGCTGAAAGTCCCATGGACTGCTGAAAGAACTAACAGATCTGTTCTGGAGAAAGTGCAGCCCAAATGTTCCTTGGAAGCGAGAATGGCCAGACTTTGTGTCACCTACTTTGACTACGCTGTGAGAAGGGACCATTCCCTGGAGAAGGATGTCATGCTTGGTAAGGTGGACGGTTGACGAGGAAGGGGAAGGCAGCATATGATCAAGAACCAATGGCTTTGAAGGAAGAAGTCCAAGCTGTGTTGAAGCAATTATTGAAAAACAAGGGCCCAGGAATTGACAGAATACTCACAGAGATTTTACAACAAATGATGCAATACTGGCAGTACTCACTTATTTATGCCAAGAAATTTGGAAGATCCATATTTGTGCCCATTCCAAAGAAAGGTGATCCAACTAATGTGGAAATTATTGAATAGTATCATTAATATCACATGCAGATAAAACTATCCTGAAAATAATTTGAGAGCAAAAGATAAGAAGTGAATATGAAGGGGGAAGAAAGGTACAGACTCAGGTCTTCCCAGAGAGGCTGTGGTGATGGGAAAGCTTCCTTGTTCTGGCAGCACTCCAACCCCCATTACATCCTTTTAATACCCACCAAAACAAATAAGAGAGCAGTAAGGATTGTCAGAAAGATTAAAGGGCTTGTATCTTTATGGTGTCAAGACACATTACAGATTGAACACCTCACGAAAGAAGTGAGAAAAGGGAAAAAATCATTCACAAAAGAAATTATTGAAAGTCTTGCACAGGTTGGGAACATTCTTATATGAGATAATAGAAGACATTAAATGAATCTAAGTGCAAAACTGGAATAAACAGTTAGCCAGGAGTTACATTTTGGATCTTACATGTTACATATTTGGAATTACATGTTAGCTCTTTGAACTTGGACAGGCAATGGAATCATTCGGAATCTTCATATCTTTGCCTGGATAGTGGGGGTTGGAAGACATAATCCATATTCATAAACAACTTACCATTGTTCCTACCTGCTAGTTAATGAATGGGTGATTCTGTTGTAACACTCAAATGTCTCTATTTCTGCACACCCCTCAGTGCTCAAGTCCACAGCCCTATTTCAGTTCCATATCACCTTTCCCAGCAGTCCTATTCTGGCACTCCTCTAGCCAGATAGTCACATAGTCCCAGGCAGATTTTAACACCGTGTATTACAAAATGTGACAGAGCAACTCCTTTACTTAAAACGCCTCAGTGATTCCCACTAGGAATCAAGGCGCAATTCTTGGCTTCACACACAAGGCTTGGCTCGCCCCGACCAGCCCGCAGTGCCACTTCCCGCTGCTGCTCTGCACTTACCCACCTCACCTCAAGGCTTGGAACATGTCTTGAAGCTTCACTAGCTGCCAGAGTTTCAATATTAGCAACTTTACAAATCCACTTCCCTTTGCCAGAGCTCTTTCACCCATGGTCTACTTGGAAGTTTTCACATTCCCTCCATGTGGAAAACTCTGTCTCCTCTTTCAGGATGTCATGGAATCTTCTCCTTCAACATGTTTATCTCATCATTTCCATAGAAGACACAGCTTCTTGCAAGCACTTACTTTGAATGTTAGGGACTATCATTGTGTTTTGCTTTTATTTAACTTCACGTCTTACCCCCACCCCCGCTAGAAAATGTGTGCCTTGAGGGATGTAGCAAGGTTTGGCATACTTTATACCTCCCAAGAGCTAGTTTAGTTGGTGACTGGGATATAA